TTTGGTTTTATGAAAAGAGGGTATGAAGTGATGTAACTTCAGGACATTTAGGCCTTAATGCACGCAAGCATATTAAAGGCTCCAACAAGTCTTGTAGTAAAGAAGCCAATTCACCTCATTTAACCCTGTATTCCCCATGGAAGACATAGTAACAGCCTGTAGATCAAATGTTGGGAAAGACTAACCTAGTCCAAGGTCACACAGTGCTTGCAGGAGCCTTAGATTGCCCAATTCTCCTCCCAGTTTTTTCCATTATAAATTTTAATAAAGCCTAGAAATGATGGGCTCACAATTGAAAAAGGATAAGAAAAAAAGGCTGTGGACTAGGCATCCCAATGGGCAGTGTAAAACATGAGTAGTGGCGAAAAGGAAGGCACTGAGAGCCAATGCCTGTGCAAAGGGACAGATGCCACCAGCTCCTGCCGAATACTGCCACTGCCTAATGTGGAAGCTAGACATCTCCATTTTATGTGAAATCATTCCGGTTTCTAAGTGCTGGCACTGTGTGAGTCAAACAAAGCATGCCTGCAGGCCCACTGTGAGCCTTCCCCAGCCCGTGGGCCACGGGTTTAAGAACTCTGGTCTAGCCAAACCGGTTTGGCTCAGTGGATAGAGCATTGGTCTGCGGACTGAAGGTCCCAGGTTCGATTCCGGTCAAGGGCATGTACATTGGTTGCGGGCACATCCCCGGCGGGGGGCATGCAGGAGGCGACTGGTCGATGTTTCTCTCTCATCCATGTTTCTGGCCCTCTATCCCTCTCACTTCCTCTCTGTGAAAAAATCAATAAAATATATATATATATATTTAAAAAAAAAAACGAACTCTGGTCTAGGTAAATTTGTATCTACAAATAATTGGGACTTCAAGGAACCATCCCTTCCCTTCTGAAGTCAATAAAAAATATATTTAAAAAATTTTTTTAAAGATAGTCTCAGATGAAAATGAGAAAAGCCTTAGAGGCACACATACTATTCACTTAGAGTCTACCTTCAATAGGTTCAGTGCTTGCATTAGTGTGGTGACTCAAATGGACTCAATCCAATTGCCAATTCTTTCACAAGGGCTGGCTCTTTGCAGGGTACTCTGCTGGATCCTATCAAAGATACAGAAGCCCACAGATTAACTGTAGGCACTGGTTTTCTTCAAGTGTCTGAGAAAGCTAAAACGAACATACATGCAGGAGTAAGTCCCTAGTGAAATGACTTGAGACTGAGCCACTGACCATCTAAGAGATGACCTCAGTGGAGTATAACTTAAATGGACTGAACATTCAGCACCCTGACTTTATGAGTCAGAAGCATCATATATTAAATGAAGGCAGTATCTCTCAGGGAGTACCCAACGCCAATAAGCAGAGCCTTTTCTTGTAATGGTGGATGCACATTCCTTTGAAGATCAGGTGCTTGTGTACAGCACTCCCGCCACATCACCTGCTGCCCAGGCTCCAAGTGTGAAACAGCAGCCTGGGAGGCCGTCTCTGGAGGTCCCTCACTGATCAATATGTATATTTTTAAAGTGCTGGTAAAGGATAGGTTCTAATGTTACTCTCTATTGATTCTACAATGGCTTGATCAAAACCATTTGGGTGCAGCCGGCACCGGTTTGGCTCAGTGGTAGAGCATCGGTCTGCGGACTGAAAGGTCCTGGGTTCGATTCCGGTCAAGGGCATGTACCTTGGTTGCGGGCACATCCCCAGTAGGGGGTGTGCAAGAGGCATCTGGTCGATGATTCTCTCTCATCGATGTTTCTAGCTCTCTATCCCTCTCTATCCCTCTCTCTTCCTCTCTGTGAAAAATCAATAAAAATATATTAAAAAAAAAGAAAAAGTTATTAAAAAAAAAACAACAAAAAACCATTTGGGTGCAGAATCAACATAATGCTCAACCAACTCCTTGAAGCGCGGATTACACTGTATTCACGTGGCTAGAATACTCTAGAGTTACGCAATGCAGAGGCACTGACTGGGTCTAGATCAAAACAGAACCTCCATCCTAAAAACAGTAGCTGTTTGGCAGATCCTTTCTTCTGTTTACTAGTAGTTGATGACCGGCAGACCGTTGGTAGAGTTGATGGAAGGCTACTGGAGTCTAACACACTGTGGATTCGCACTGTGTTAACATGCAAATGTGCGGACACTTGACGACAGATGCTACTAAACCAGCGGTGGGCTTTCTGGAAAGATTTTATATGCTTAGAAAACAAGATAAAAAGATTTTTATCTACTCATCCATAATCTCTACGAGGTCCCCTTATAACCTAGACTAGTGGTCGGCAAACTACGGCTCACGAGCCTCGGTTTGCCGCTCTGTTGACCGAGTTTGCCGACCACTGGGATAGGGGCTTAATCACAAGTAACAACAACTGCCTGTAATTATTGGAACCGAGAGTCAAGGGCAGTGGTGGGCAAACTCATTAGTCAACAGAGCGGCAAACCGCGGCTCATGAGCCGCAGTTTGCCGACCACTGACCTAGACAGACAGGGTAGAGATGCAGTGTAGCAATAGAACAGGATAATCTATTTTGACTTTGAGTCCATATCCCACCCTTATTAGGATCCTACCCTCTAAACAAGTTGAAAAAATAGTACTTTATTTCAATAACCTGCCAATGACAGGAGAACTGAACATGATGGTTTTCTTTAATACCCAGCAGTTTTCAATATTCATCTTTGGGACTGAATCAGATCACATTTCCACACTTGTGTACTTCCCTACAGAATGGCTGGATTATCCATTTGGGCCAAACACTGAGGAATAACTGACTGAGCATTCAGCACACTAGCCTTTGAGTCAGAAACATCATATATTAAGTAAATAAAGGCATGAGGAGGCTTCTAGATGCTAGCAGGGAAGTTGAGCAGATTGTGTGAACTGAACCCTAAATACCCAGACTTAATAGAAACTGCAGGTTCAAATCCCGGCAGGATCAACTCAGATGTTATTATAATCTTCTAGATAAACTGAGCACCATAGAGCTTCCTGCTCTGACAAACCGATGAGGCCCTTACAGACTGTTGCTGTTTAGGAGGGCACATAAGAGAGGGAAAGCTTTGCAATCACTTTAAATCAATACAATTTTTACTTCCAGTTGCTGCTGGGGGGAAATCACAACTCTGCAACATGCTGTGTATACGACGGAGTAAAACCACCACCATCCAGACGACCAAATAATAGGAGATCCTTTCAGGCAAGTATCACTATAAGCATACAATATTTTGACTTCCAACATGCCATTCTCGCCCAATGTAAATCTACAAATAAATCTAAAATTACCCACAAACATGTTTTTTCTTTTTCTTTAGTTTTTAAAGGCCATCAAATCCTTGGAGACAGTACCAACCTCCAGCAGTTAATATTCAGCCGTAATACACTTACAGCAGGGTCTTCATTGGGCTTAATACCGCTCCTGTCAATGGTGCATCTCAGAGCTGGGAACATCGCCAATGCAGTTCCTCTGCTAGGACCACCACTGCTCCAACGATCCACATCAACATTAACCGAGGGTCTCCCTCCCTCCTGAGGAGGCTGTCCAAGAATCTGAGTTCAACCACTGGCTCAAGAGAAGCGGCAAGTCTTCTCAATGACCCAACATTCATTTTACGCTCAACTACCCAGGCCTTCTGCAAACTGAGCTCTTGAGGGCAGTGACTAACTCTTCCCGGATACAGGAGGCCACCGAGGTGACTGACTGTCACACATCGGCACAGAGGGCAGCCATGACCTATCAGCAGCCAGTGAGAAACAAGGCGCAGGACCTCGTGCTGGAGAGGAGAGCATGTAACACGCTGGCATGCGGAGTGGTGGAGGGGGAACGGGGTGGCATGTTCATCCATGACAGCCCCTGGTTGGCTCTGAGGTCTAAGATGGACACTCACTACCGTACTGGCTGGCGCCCAGGCAGTAATTGACAGGCCATCGGATAAAATTTTAGGTGGAACCAGAGGCTTGGAAAGTTCTGCGATCCAACACATTGTCTACAGAAGCATCAGTATTAAAACGGAAAGTCAGTATCTGGGGCACAGGGAGGGCTCTTTCCCCTGAAATACCGGAAAGAGATGTCAAGACCACATCTTCGAGCGACGGAGTGCATATTCTAAACACAATGAGTCCTGTGGCTTTCTGTTAGGAATCAAGCAGTCATTAGTGACAGCCCAGCTCTTAAAATGTCACATAGTATGCCTACAGTTAACGAGGAAGAGACGATGAACACAGCAGAAGTGTTAGAGCTAACTCGTAAGCTTTACCCACAATACAAGGCTGTGTTCCATCCAAGTCCCCTGCCCCAAGCGCCATGCGGCAGGCCCGATGTCCACTCTCCAGGGAAGCATGTAACCTCTTAAAATCAGTTTATTTAACTCTGACAAAATGCGCTACGCTGTCAGGAGGTCAAGTTTCACTGCCGGAATGAGTCCCTATCCCATTCTCCCGGAGAGTGGAGAAACGATGGCCCATAAGGAATTTCCACCTCTCACGGACCACCCACATCCACTTAACATTCTCCTCCTTCCTTCCCTCTCCAATCAACGTGATCTGATTCAGTCCCAAAGATGAACATTGAAAACTGCTGGGTATTAAAAATAAAAGCCTCCTGAATTACACAAAGTCCCAAGACGACGTTTCCCAAGTCTTAAGAAGCTGCTGGGGCTCAGACAGCCTCCTTCTGTCTATACCCGGGTCCTCACCGCGCGCTCCCCAAATGCGAACCTCAGAACCTCGAGCTGGCCGCCCTGAGGGTCCCGCTCCGGCCCCACGCGATGGGGCCGGCGTCCGGGGCAGCCCCTTCCCCGGCGGCTGCCGGCCCCTGGAGAGCCGCCCGGCAGGCTGGGCCTGGGCCTCGCGGAGGCGCCTCCTGCCTGGGCTCCTCGGGCCACAGGGAACCGCCAGCCCCGGCGGAGGCGTCAGCCGGGCTGCCTCCGCCCCAGGCGACCCCCTCCTCCCACCGGACTCGGGCCGGCCGCGCCTCGGGCTCCCCCGCTCCCGCCAGCCGGCCGCGCCCGTACCTGCCGGACCCGGTGCAGCGCGTCCACGAAGCCCTCGGCCTTCATCCCCACCGGAGCGCTCTGCCCCTGCACCAGCTCCGCCATTACCGCCCCCGCCGCCGCTCCGCTCCCGGTCCGGCCTCCCCCTCCGCTCGGGGACCCGTAGCCGGAAAGGGAAAGTCGCCCCACTTCCGGCGGAAGGGAAGACGGGACACTCGACGCGAGAGAAGCCGCGTCGCGTCGGAGGGACCGGTCGGGCCACGTGACCGCAGTCCGGCCGGAAGCAGGGGGCGGGGCCTGGGCGGGGGCGGGGCCAACGCGCAGGCCGCCGTCGGGTCTGCAGGGACCGGCCGGGCCCCGCCCCCGGGCGTGCTTCGGTCCAGGTTGCCGGGATGCTAACGGGCTCCGGAGGTGGGCCCGCGGCGTCCGGCTGAGGATGACGTGGCTCTCCCGACAGCGCCCGCAGCGCTGGCTCCCGAAGAGCCTGGCCCTGGCAGCCCTCCCAGGCATGGCCACTGGTTTGGGAATATTGGGAACTGAGCTTTTTGAAATGGCACCGTGAGGACCCAATGGGAGGCTGGAGGACAAAGGACCACAAGTGTCAGTGCCCCATGTTTGCAGGGAGGCCCAGGTCTGAGTTCCTGCACCGTCATCTGTTTGCTCGAGGGTGGGCTAACAGTACACCTGGGGTTGCCTAGCGACACAGCTGGAGTTGCCTAGCGACACAGCTGGAGTTGCCTAGCGACACAGCTGGAGTTGCCTAGTGACACAGCTGGGCGAGGGGCTGGGGCGGGGGGGGGGGGGGAGAGAAGGGGGACTCTCACATGGAAAACCAGCAAGGCGTCCACTTACACATTACGTACTGTGGGACTCTGAGGAAGCTGGAGCTACCACCGCAGGACCCTCTTCGCTTGCGTGCCTGTCGAGTCAAGACTGACGTTATTGCAAGAGGGCTTCTTGGAATGCTTAGCATTTTCCCCATGGCAGGAGCTGGGTATAGATTATTCAAGGCAAGGGAAGGAGTCCTACTGCAGGAACACGCCGAGCCTGTGAGGTGGGTGTTAGAAACGAGCAAACAAACCCCCAGAAAAGAAACAAGGCTTAGAGGTTCTTAGATACATCTTGTTGGAGGCAAGTAGGATACCCGGGAGTTGGGTTTTAATGGAGAATCAAGCATTTTATGCCGAACTTGTTACAAAGGCAGATAGGCACTGAGAAAGGGAAATAAAGAAGTAAAGTCCGCCTGGCCGGTGTGACTCAGTGGTTGAGCGTCCACCTATGACCCAGGTCACGATTGGATTCCCAGTTAGGGTATATGCCCGGATTACAGGCTCCATCCTCAATATGGGGCATGCAGTGATCAATGATTCTCTCTCATCATTGATGTTTCTATTTCTCTCCACCTCTCCCTTCCTTCTGAAATCAATAAAAATATATATATATATTTTTTTTTAAAAAAAGAAGTGAAATCCATTGTGACTTCTCTTGAACCATTGTGTCAGTATGCTAGACCAATAATTGGCCGATAATCAAGAGCAATTCTTCATTTGTTAATGACTTCATTACCAGACTGTGAATTCCTTAGGAACAGAGTCTGAGTTTTATTTGTTCCTGTATCTCTAGAGTTTGGCACATAGTAGGTTCTTTAGAACGGAGTAATGCCAAGTTAGAATAGTTCCTAGATTGTGGGGAAATAAAAGAATTTGGGGAAATTGCAACGTGGAAGATGATCATTTTCAGACAAAATGTTTCAGCCTGTGTAGGAAAGCAGGCAGTGGGTTCGTTGCTGTCACTGTGCTCTCCTGGGGCAGACCAACACCTGCCAGCACATCTGTCTGTGGCCCAGCCCAGGTAGGTTGATGGTTTTAACTTCGCTCTGCTTGTAAAAGTCAAGGATACATCATCAGCCTTCAGGAGCAGGGATGGTTTCACTGACCCAATTCTAGTGACACTTGTGTTTTGAATATTAAAAAAAACAAAAAACAAAACTCGTATGTTTATTCACCCAAATTCCAGCTGGTGCTCTCCCTGAGTATAAATAGTGAAATCAGGGTTATTGGCCCACATATAAGGTACATTAATGTTTGCTCCAAAGACCACAGAATGTCTGGGTGGGAAGACAAAGTTCTGTTTCTCCCTCTTACTGGTTGACCAACTTTGGGCAATTCACTTATTTCTTGGGGCACGGAAGAGGCAGGCCAAACCATTCAAGTCTGTGTTATATGTCCTACTGACACCCTGGACTTCATCATCTTCCTGTTTATCACCACTGCTTTTACGTCGCCATGTAATTTTTTGTTGATTAGCTGCCTTTTCCATTATAATAAAACTTCTACTGAGACACCCGTGCTTGCCTTTATCATTGCTTTTCCTACCACCTAGCATGATGCCTCGTATTTTGTTGGCACTAATCCATTTCGTGTTCACTTTCTTTTTATAAAAGAAAGTATTTTCTTTTTTTAATATATTTTATTGATTTTTTACAGAGAGGAAGAGAGAGGGATAGAGAGTTAGAAACATTGATTAGCTGCCTCCTGCACCCCCCCCCCCCAACTGGGGATGTGCCCGCAACCAAGGTATATGCCCTTGACCAGAATCGAACCTGGGACCTTTCCCGATGCTCTATCCACTGAGCCAAACAGGCTTCAGCATTGTGTTCACTTTTGCATAAGGTGTGTAGTATGGGTCAAATGAATTTCCTTTTCATGAGAATATCCTGTTGTTTCTGCACTAATTATAAACAGAATGAGCCTTTCTGTATGGAATTGCCTTTGTAATTTTGTCAAAAATATCAATCTCCTGTGTGCAGGTCTATTTCTGTTCTCTCCATTGACATATATGGCTATCTTTTCACTAACACCATGCTGTCTTGATTACTGTAGATTTATAGTAAATCTTAAAATGAGGTAGGGTAAGTCCCCCAACTTTATTCTTTATCAAAATTGTTTGGCTATTTAAGCTCCCTCATCTTAGCAAAATATTTAGCTTGTTGATATCTACAAAAATCTTATTGAGATTTTGATTGGAATTGTGTTGAATCTATAGATCAGTTTGGGGGAAACTTACCTTAACAATTGCAAGTCATCCAATCAATTGACATTATGTATCTCTGTATTTATTTTCATTTTCTTTTATTTCATTCACCATTGTTTTGTAGTTGACAGCATAAAGATCCAGAATATATTTTGTTAGCTATAGACCTAAATTTTTATGTTTTTTCTACTATTGTAAATGAAACTCTTAAATTTTCGATTTTCAATTGTTCATTGCTGATATATAAATATCGATTATTTATATTAAACTTTTATCCTTAAACTTTGTTAAAACTAAAAACAAATACAAAACTTTGTTAAACTCATTTATTACTTCTATTGGCTTTTTGGGGTAGATTACTTGAGCTTTTGCTATGTTGACAATTATGTCACCTACTAATAGAGATAGTTTTAGTTCTTCCTTTCCAATTTGCATGTCTTTTACTACTTATTTCTTGTCTGTTGTGAGAGTAGACATCCTAAAATGCTCCTGATCTCAGGGGGATGGCATTCATTCTTCAACCATTATGCAAAACATTCCTCGTACATTTTTGTAGACATCCTTTATCAAATTAAGGAATACCCTTTCTATTCCTAATCAGTTGAGAATTTTTATCAAAATGCTTTTTCCATATTTATTAAGATGACGATAAGCATTTTTATTTTTTTAGTCTGTTCATGTGGTGAATTACATTGATTGATTTTCAAGGGTTGAATCAGTCTTTCTTTCCCATAATAAACCCTACTGAATCATGATGACTATCCCTCTCATTACATTTTATCCTTTTAGCTGGGTTCGATTTGCTAATATTTTGTTGAGCATTTTGGCATTTATGAGGGATATTGGTCTACAGTTTACTTGTAATTTATTTGTCTGGCTTGGTATCAGGGTAATGCTGGCCTCATAAAACGAGTTAAGAGGTATTGCCTTCTCTTCCATTTACTGGAAGATGCAGCTGATCTTACTCTTTCCCTAAATGTTTTGTAGAATTTGCTAGTGAAGACATATGGGCCTAGAAGACTTTGTTTGTGTTTTTGTTGTTATTGTTTTAAAGTTTTAACTACGGATTTTTTAAAAATCCAATCTGACAATCTCTGCCTTTTCATTGGTGTGCTAAGATCCGTTGCATTTAATTGGTTTGATTTAGGACTACCCATTTACTGTTTGTTTTCCGTTTGCCCCTGTCTGTATTGTCACCTGTTTCCCTTTTATGTCTTATTGTAGATGATTTGAAAAAATATTGGTATTCCAGTTTCACTTACCAATGAGCCTTTTGGATATATTCTCTTGTGCGCTTTTAGTGATTGCTCTTATGTGTATAAAAATCAGGCACTTTTATACAGTATATAAACGGGACCGAGCTCTTTGCATCCTTCTGTAGGTTGAGTACTTTTTGTTTTGTTTTGAGGTTTATCTAAGTTCACATATGGAGCCATATGTCATTGCTTTTGCTCCATTATTCCACTACCCCAATAAACCAGAAACGATGTATCCTTTCTCCTGTGAATAGCCATTTAGAGTGTTTCCATTTTTTCTCCATTATAAATGTTGTTGCAAACAAGCTATCTTGAACTTGTCGCCTGTGTCCTTGGGGGAGAGATTCTCTAGGATGTGTGCCTGGGGGTGAAGTTGCTGGGAGTGAGAGTGAACAGGGAAGATGCCCGCCCTCTGCTAGAGAAGCTGAGCGCTCTCCAGCACGGACAGTATCTCCAAAGGGAGGCACGCATCCCACCAGCTGGAGTGAGCTCTTGCTAAGCCTCCTCCTTGCTGGCTGAATTTTTATTTCTTGAGATCTCCTGAGATAAAATATTAAAAATACATTTTGAAATTAAAATGTTATGCTGTGGTGAAATATAGACAACATAACAACTACCATTTTAACCACGTTTAAGTGTACAGATCAATGGTGTTAAGTGCATTCATATTGCGGTGCAATCATCACCACCATCCATCTCAGAACTTCTTCATCTTTCCAGAATGAAACTGTCCCCGTTAAGACTGAACTTCCTGCTTCCCGCTCTCGGAGGCCCGGCGACCACCATTCTCCTTTCTGTCTCTGTGAATTTGACTGC